CTATGATATAACTCAGGTGACCGCTAAGGCCCTTGGGCCTCTTGTTAGCTAAATATTACAAATGTTTTCATAACCATGTCTCATTTCATTGTTTTATTTTACCATGGGTATTTGACAATATAAATGAAAACACCTTGTTAATGAAATGCTACACATTAGGTTATACCAGTATGATAAACGTATACAGTGATGATTTTGAAGAAAAACCTTAACCCTTTCACTCCTATGTAATTTTAGTGGACTCAACCATGCATTGATCTGGATGGGTCCATTATGGTCTACAGTGGTGAAAGGGTTAATTAAACCTAGTAAGTCCATCTTAACTTGTGTTTGTATGTTAATCTATAGTTCAAAACAGGATGTCTCTGAAAATTCTACTTCCTGAAGTTCTCCAGTAGATACATATATTGATATTGTGAATTCTAAATTGAACATACATTTATGTGAAAATCTGTTATTGAAAAAAATTGCAAGTATTGATTAACAATTTTTGAAGATGGAAAAAATATATTTAAGCGTTTAAGATGGAGGAACATTTTGAACAAGGGTTAAAAATGGACATATGTAATGCTATAGAAGAAGGATTTAATCTAAGTTCAACCATAGACAACAGTTCAATAACCGATGATGTTACTGACGAAGAATTAAAAGCTTACAACAGTGACGATAGTGATAATGGAAAGACTTCGGGGGTTAAAAAAGACATTAACTTGTCGGGATTGAATTCGAACGATGAAGTAACAAAGCTTCAAGCTGACCATGATGAGGTCACTGTTGACCATGATGAGGTGGATGAGACACACACACATGGAGATTATCGTAGCTCTGAGAGTAGACAGGAATTACGGAGGAATTCACAGGTAGAAGAGGACAATCATTACTTGTGGAATAGAATAGTACTTCCCTGTGCTGGTACATGTACTAAGTCATTACGTAAGATACGGGTCATACAATAGCACTTCCCTGTGCTGGTACATGTACTAAGACATTGCGTAAGATACGGGTCATACAATAGTACTTCCCTGTGTTGGTACATGTACTAAGTCATTACGTAAGATACGGGTCATAGAATAGTTCTTCCCTGTGCTGGTTCAAGTACTAAGTCATTACGTAAGATACGGGTCATACAATAGTACTTCCCTGTGCTGGTTCAAGTACTAAGTCATTACGTAAGATACGGGTCATACAAGAGTACTTCCCTGTGCTGGTACATGTACTAAGACATTACGTGAGATACGGGTCATACAATAGTACTTCCCTGTGCTGGTTCAAGTACTAAGTCATTTCGTAAGATACTGGTCATACAATAGTACTTCCCTGTGCTGGTACATGTACTAAGTCATTAAGTAAGATACGGGTCATACAATAGTACTTCCCTGTGCTGGTACATGTACTAAGTCATTAAGTAAGATACGGGTCATACAATAGTACTTCCCTGTGCTGGTTCAAGTACTAAGTCATTACGTAAGATACGGGTCATACAATAGCACTTCCCTGTGCTGGTACATGTACTAAGACATTGCGTAAGATACGGGTCATACAATAGTACTTCCCTGTGCTCGTACATGTACTAAGTCATTACGTAAGATACGGGCCATACAATAGTACTTCCCTGTGCTAGTACATGTACTAAGTCATTACGTAAGATACGGGTCATACAAGAGTACTTCCCTGTGCTGGTACATGTACTAAGACATTGCGTAAGATACGGGTCATACAATAGTACTTCCCTGTGTTGGTACATGTACTAAGTCATTACGTAAGATACGGGTCATAGAATAGTTCTTCCCTGTGCTGGTTCAAGTACTAAGTCATTACGTAAGATACGGGTCATACAGTAGTACTTCCCTGTGCTGGTACATGTACTAAGTCATTAAGTAAGATACGGGTCATACAATAGTACTTCCCTGTGCTGGTTCAAGTAATAAGTCATTACGTAAGATACGGGTCGTCTGCTGAAAGGCCACAAGGCTATAATAGCGGACGTAAAACCATCAAAATCAACATACTGGGAGTAGAGGTTGGGTAGAAATGGAGGGTGAGGGGGGGGGGGGGGGGGGGGGCATTGTTGGGCGAGGGGACAGGGAGGGGGATTGGGTGTATGAGGGAATGGGTCAGGGTGAGGGGCATGGGGAAATAGGTGGGTGAGGGGACAGGGGGGAGGGGTGGGTCAGGGACAGGGAGGGGAGAAATGGGTGGGTGAGGGGACAGGGGGGATGGGTGAGTCAGGGACAGGGAGGGGAGAAATGGGTGGGTGAGGGGAATGAGATGGGGAGGGGGGTGCATACTTTAATATAAAGATATTATATCTTTGTTTTGTCCATGATGTTCTTAAATACAAAATACCAGCTGCGACCAATGTCTTATAGCCGTAACCTCGAACTTCTCCTTAACTTTCCATCCTTTCAGAACCAGATCCCTGACCAAATGGACTTAAAGTTCATTCTAGCCGAGTTTTATTTTCATTTACTGATATTGTACTATATTTTTCTTTCCCCTTAAAGTGTTGTCTTTGTTACTTTCATATATCAACCAGAGAAGTTCTTGTTGGTGGTTTACCCAAATCCAAGAGTTCTTTTAACTCATTCACCCTTGAAGACACATTTGAACTCTTCCAATTCAAAGGATGGAATAGTTCATTATGAAATTTCAGGGGTGAATGCTTCAAGTTTTTGCTTTAAACTTTGCTTTGCACTTGTTGTTTATGTATTTAAATGTATATATTCAGCACATCAATTTCTGACACACGTTTAATTATACAATCAAGATGTTACTAATTCTTGAAAGTTGCAAATAATTTGCACCAAGTTTAAGATCTAATTGACTAATATATCTGTAAATTATTTGCTTATATACAAGCATGAAGCTTTACAAATACCCAGGGGCATTCCTATGCTGTATTGTCCGGTTACTAACATGCATATCCAGGGATGAGCATGGCAAAGCTTGCATGATATGTACTGTACAGTCTGTTTAACTTCAACTTATTTTGTTCAATAAAATGTTTTCATTATTTTGAAGTTTCATGAGAACAACATTGAAGACCTTTTCAGGATGGGACTGTATACCCTTAAAACCTTGAAAATATGCCATTTCCGGCCTCATCAACGATTTAGAATTAGTTGTTATATTCGTAATCTGGAGTAAATGAAGCACGCAAATATGAAATCTTTTGGAGATATTGCATTGCATAAACCCACATTTTCGTAATTAAATGGGTGAATATCATCACTAGTGTGCTATTTGGTTGAAAATTGGCCGTTTTTAAGGAAATAAACTAAACACTCTTCAAATTTTGAAAGCCTCCGCATGCAACAAACAAATAGATATTTTAAAAAGCTTAGACATTGTCATACCAGTGTTCAATCATAGAAAGGAATTCTGTTTGTCACATGCGGAGGCTTTCATTCTTGCATGCTTATATTACTGTCCAAAAACACCAAATTTTTGGCTATTTCTTCATAGCAACGCAGTTTTGTTGCTATGGTGGGCATCTGCGCATGCACATTGGAAAAGATCTTCACCAAGAAAGAAAACCCCAATTATCCAATATAAATTTTATAATAGAAATTGGTAAATAAATTCAATTTGAATTTTTTTACTTTTTATGAGGCCAAGAATGACCCATAACGCCCCAAGTCCAAGTTTTTAGGATGTTGAATCTGGAGGCCATCTTATTTTTGATGTATTACATATGGTTGACTGTAATGGACAGTTATACCTTCTTGTTTCTGCTTCACATTTATAAAGCTATAACAAGCAATTAGTATTGAAACCATTTACGAACATTTTGAGATAAGATATTAAATGTCAATTTTGATATCAATTTCCTGAAATTTTATTTCAATATTAAAAGTCAATTTTGATATCAATTTCCTGAAATTTCGTTTCAATATTTAAGGTCAATTTTGATAACAATTTCCTGAAATTTTATTTCAATATTAAAAGACAATTTTAATATCCATTTCCTGAAATTTTATTTCAATATTTAAAGTCAATTTTGATATCCATTTCCTGAAATTTTATTTCAATATTAAAAGTCAATTTTGATATAAATTTCCTGAAATTTTATTTCAATATTAAAAGTCAATTTTGATATCAATTTCCTGAACTTTTATTTCAATAAAATACATACAGGTATGCATTTAATGATACCAGATGTTTCACCAATTAATCAGTATTCTGTATTAATTACGCATTAAAATTCTGGGCAGCGTATTTTAATATCATGTTTATTTTCAAGTTGAATTTTACTGCAATTATAGTCTATGGCTCATTTTTGAGACTGTCTTATAAACCTGTCAGGTTTATTTTCAATGTTTAAGGGTACTTTTTTTCATGTTAGAAGGAATTAGTGACAAATTCTTGTTAGAGTTAACCAGGTTTTGCTTTATTTTGTTATGCATTTTAAACAATTAATTGCCTGAAAATTATCATTTGCATAATTGCTATGTAATTATTTATTTTTAAATATTGTTGAGGAATGTTCCATTTTATTTTTGTCTTGACAGTTTTTTTTAGTTCATCCTTAAACATTATTTTATTAACCTTGAACATCAAATAATATTTGAAATTGTGTGATTAAAATTAAATAATGCTTTATTTGTGAATTAATTAATTACCTTTTTAATTGATTTCAGTGTGATTTGCTTTTTTACTCATTTAAACAATTCATCCACAAAACCTTTCTCCTTATCTGTATTAACAGCTTCCCTGTATTGTCCATTTACTTCAAATTATAAATAAAATAGCAATCTGTATTGGCGTTATCATAATTATATGTTAACATGACTATTTTCTCACTTTTCAGATAGCTAATGAAGATGCAACACTATTTTTCCGAGATGGCGCAAGAAAGATTGATTATGTTCTGGCCTACGAGCCAGGCTCGCCCTCGGAACAGGAAGAAAAGAAAAGGGAAAAAAGAAAAATATTTGAAGATAACCTGCGGAAGGAAGGTCTAGAGCTGGAATACGAAGGAAAAGAGGTAACAATAATTCTTTAGGTTTATTTTTTTTCTCTAGATTTATGTATTTTTTCTTGGATGTTTTTAGAGAATTTTTACTTTCATATTCTATATATTATACATTGATACTATGTTTTAAGATATTTTCAGTATGTCTTCTAAATTTGAAATTATAATTATTTGTTAATAATACTGTTTTAATGCAAAGATGACAATGCAGATTGCAGCAATTGTGCATCCACAATTATGTTTCAATCTACACAGCTGTTCAAATGGGTATCATCTTTTCTGAAGTGAAACAGCATTTCCATTGGATCACAATTATCTACCGACTAATCCCTTTGTCAATATGTTGTCAATAAAAAATGTTTAAACTAAAAAAAATATATCTATTTTTCCTTCATGAAAAATATCTTAATCATCAAATATGTCAATACGAGTTCTTTTTTAAGGAAACAAAAACATTTCATTATTAACTTTAAACCAGGATTTTTTTTTTCAGAAATGAAAATGATAAAAAAAAAAAAAGTGTTATCACAAAAAAATGAACACAAATTAGAAAACAACATTTTGTAAATGAAAATCCCGATATTTTTTCAAATTGAAAATAAATAAGTAATTATTTATGGAAAAAAGTTTGTTGTCACTGTTTAGACTAAAATCAACATGTAAAAATATGTACCGTAAATTCAATTCCAGAAGTCCAGCTTTGTTTCCAAGGTATAGTTTCTGTATGTCGATCATCAGTATGGATGGCACTATTTTTTCATGCTTTTGCTGTACAAGGCTGTATACTTGAGACTGATCCCTTTTTTGTATGTATCATTGACATTGCTTTACTGTGAAATTTACGCATTTTATTAAAAAAAAAAACCCAGCACTTTGTTACTTTTCAGGCAATACAAAATTAATTACTTTTTCGTATATATTAAAGGGATTTTTTTTTTTTATAATTTTTAATCATCTTTCAAAAAGGAATCACATAAATATTTCGAGTAGTAATGGACAATTTTCAGAATCTACCAATACCTTCCAAAAGAAAGGGCACCATTGCCTGATTTTGTATGTGACATTATCTTGTGATATTCAAATAGATGCCATTTTGGTTCAGCGGAAAATTAACATTCCTGTCACCTAGCTCTTGTGTGGTAGCAGTCCCATTTCAAGGTTATTTAGCAAAGAACAAACAACCAACAGATTTTGAAACTTGTTTAAAAACTGTTGTGTATAACAGTTTTTCCGTTTTAAAAAGTTATATTTGTCATATACTAAATTGATTCTAGAGTCTTCTGTTAGATTAGCATTGGTATTTATTGACCCTTGAAAAGTGATATTCCCCTCAGGTTCCTGCTTCTAAGAATATATCTACATTCTCTGGTCAAAAAAGAACCCATGTTGTATATTGTCACAATTTCAATTTGATTTCATTGCACATTCAATTTTGTTTCGGAACACACCATCCCATGATTGCATGAGGCCTCGCAGTTTTCAAAATCTTGCATTAGTCAGTGCACAATTTAAATGAATATTTTTATGATATAATTACATTTTCATTAATAGTAATCCAGAGTATTTGCTCAGAGATAAATATGAAACATGACGATTATTTCTGCATACTTGTATTTTATTTCTATGAACAACCTATATCTTAGGGGCCTGGGCCAACTTGTATAAAACTTGTATAAAACATCTCAAAGTTAAGGAAAATCTCAAGCAATCTATTGTCTATGGGAAATCTTTGACTTGAGGAAATCTCAAGAGTTGAGATGTTTTATACAAGTGGGTCCTGTTCCTTTATGCAGGTTCCTTTATGCAGAACAACTGGTTTGTCTGTTTTTTAATGTAACATTTTAGGGTATTAATCCTAGCGGACCTGCAAATGTTTATGCAGGTCTTGTCAGGCATTGTCAAGGCTCGCCTGAAAGCAGCATCAGATTACTAGTGCCGACCTTATTTCATAAACGAACAACTCTGGTCCAACCGGTTCAACCTATATATAGTGTAACATGGGTAATCTCGGTCGATCAGACTCTTCATTGTATGAGCAATGTGTTCAGCTGAAATTGGGTCTGGTCATGTCAATCATTGCTTGAATGTGCCTTAACCATCAGACTTTTGGCTATATCATTTGAACCAAACCCTTCACCAGCACCAAACACTTTCCCCCAAGGGAGCACATTGCTAAATTTGACAGTTTTCTGTCACTGATCATTCAAAATGCTATCTTATTAAAAAAAGCAATCTTTCAAGTTAGCCAAAATTTCTGCTTTCAAAAGGATAGAAAATGAAAATAGGCTTTTTATAGTGTCAGTCTGATGTATGTAGTCTGTTAATATAAAGATGAATAAGGCAGGGTATTGGTATTTATTGCAATATTTTACCAACTATTTTGATATGTATTGCCGAATATTGCCGAGCCTCTGAGGATGTGTTTTTGAATTTTTATATCTGATTTATATTCTATTGATGTGTTTTATCAAGTGTGGATCTAGTTTTAATTATTTCAACACAATTCTTGGTATGAGAAATAAAGGAAACCAAGTTCTATACTGTTTTATTTCTAACACTAGCGGTATATTGGTTTTTGTATTGTGCACACCAGTATATTGTATCGGCTATGCCATACGACAGTATACTGAGGTAGTAGGACGAAGAATAGTGATTAATATAGTGCCATCCCTGGGGCTCGAACCTGCGACCCTCGGCTCTCCAACCCGATGCTCTACGGCTGAGCTAAAGGGAAATTCCCTACAGCTGACACTTGTAAGGCAACCAAATCAATGCACATCTTTTACAGTATTCCCCCCTTTTTTCAAACACCAACCCAGGTTCTTTGACTCCCCGCCAAGGGTTCTCCTACCTTGAACAGGGAGGACCAACAGCACCAGTTTGTAGTAGGACGAGGAAAGTGATAAATATAGTGCCATCGCTGGGGCTCGAATCTGCAACCCTTGGCTCTCCAGCCCCATGTTCTACTGCTGAGCTAAAGGGAAATTCCCTACAACTGACGCTTGTAAGGCAGCCTAATCAATATACATCTTTAACACTGGAATATTGGTTGAATGTAAAATTCAAATGTATGATATGTTATACATTGCATTCATTGTATGAAAAGATAAATAATCCATTACATAAAAAAATGATGCAGTGGGGTGAGGAAAATTAGAAGCCATGCTTGTCAATTTAGGATAATCAATTTAGTGATGTGCACCCTCCATGATTAACAGTGTGAGTTATCCCCCTTATCACAATGTGTTATCTCCCTTGTTTGCGTGTTCACAATTTTAAGTAATATATAACCTCATCGAAAGTATATATGTGACCTGATGAAATTGTCAATTTAATTTCTGAATTAAGGTGATAACTTGTTTGTATGACCTTCATTTGTAATTGTAGAACTTTTCCCCTTTTAAATAATCAAATTCAGGAAATTTTGGCTGGGAATGAAAATGGATGAAAACAAATGATCATCATATCACATTTTCCATTTGTGCTGGTACTGCTGATGAAAGCATGAAATTACTGTGCTTATTGTTATAAATGCAGTGGGGGCTTGCATTGGCATGTAGCAGTTTTTCAAAGATATCGACGCTGGTTCGGAGACTTAAAATAAGAAACTGGTGAAAGATTGATTTGTATTCACTCTAGGTAGTTAATTCAGGTCCTTTGAAATTGTGGGTGTATAATTCTGTATAAAGCACAATCAGTATGGATTATGACCTCAGATGACCCTTATGTGTTAAATTGTTTTAAAATCAGGTTTTGTCTTATTTCCATGCTTGGGACAATTGATATTGTATTGTTGTAAAAATAATTATTCAAGATCAATTGCTAAAGCATTTGTGAATCCAACTTTGAAAAGTAAAAGAATGATAAGTATATCTAACTTTGAAAAGTAAAAGAATGATAATTAAGTCCAAAAATGAGCATGTGATTGAAAGGCACAGGGAAGAAACACAGGCATTAATTACAATAAATTATACAGTTATATGTTGTTGAGCCATGCTTCACATTGATTGGGTGAAGGAAAACTTTTCAAAAGAAATAAGTTTTGTGATGCAGCTTTAAGGAAATTTTATTACTTTACATTTAATTTTTTCCTTTTTTTTTAGACTTTAAAACCTTTTCCCAGGTGTATATGAATGTTGATTAAAAAATATTCCAAGTTCGAAAGAAAATATTTCATATGAATTATTTCTAAAATTATTGGAAATCAGAGAAATAACAAAGTTTGTTTAGGAAGTTGATCAATGCATCTTTATAATGAAATTGACTTAATTCCAGTTTGTCAGATATTGACTGAAAAACCCCAATTAAAATGCAATTTTTTGGGGAAGTAACCATTTTGAATAATTAGAAATGAGAAAAAGATCTATTTAGATATTTTTTTTAACAAAACCTTTTCATAAACATATCCTGTTGAATGTTAATCATTGAGACTTTTTCTCTCTCTTTCTTTTGGTACTAATAACTATTAAATAACAGCATGTTGAAATAACTTCAGTAGAGTAAAAATGTATCAGTTTATATTCAATGTAATTTCATAATCATTTCTTGTACTTATTACAGAGTGAATAATAAGTTAAAGTATTAGCTTTTTCCAAAAAATTGACATTTATTTTTTATTACTTTTAATATTTTCATCTTCTCACTTGAACAATTTCATCTTATAATATCAATAAAACTTCTTCATCTGTTTAGGAAGTATTGTTTACAATATGTATTTGTTATTTCACGGTAAGCTAGCTGACAGAGTATGACACAGACAAGGTCACATGTTTGCATCTCGCAATGCAACAGCTGTGTGTTTAAACAACATCCTTAGATAATTTTGAATTTTAAATAAATGTCGCAGACTTGAACACTTTTTGAAATGTTTAGCTCAGATTGGTTGAATAATGACAGTTTCAAATCTAATGCACACTCTAATGCCACCAAAATTAATAATGCAGCCCTCATTATAGGTGGCGACTTCAATCTCCCGGGCTGGGATTGGAAAAATAAAGTTCTCAAACCCAAAACAAATCATGTAAAAATACACTATAATTTTGCCAACTTACTTGATGACACGGCACTCACCCAGCTAATTGATCAACCCACCAGAAATGAAAATATCCTTGATCTCCTCATTACAAATTTCCCAAACCAAATAATTCGAACAGAAATTATCCCTGGTCTCTCTGACCACAACATAGTCTATGCAGAGTTGAACCTTACCCCACAATTTTTTTTCAAAAACCAAGATCCATCCCAGTATATAAAAACTCAAACTGGAATTCAATTAAAGCTGAGCTTATCAACGTGTACAACTGTATGACAGAAAATAGCGAGTGGGACGTAAACAAAATATGGCAGTATTTCAAAATTGAATTGTCTAAACTCATAAAAGAACATATCCCCCACAAGATAGTTAAGAAAAAAACCCAGCCTACCTTGGGTTACCCCTGACATAAAGAAACTTGTCAGAAGAAATAGATTGTACAAACGATCAAATCAGGAGACACTGAAATAAAAAATAAGTATAAAAACCTGAAACATCATATACAGAGAAAACTCCGAACATCTTACTGGAGCCATATTGATAATATCATCACCCCAGAAAACACAACCAATGAAAACAAATTTTCCTGCAAAAAAACGGTTTTGGTCATATATAAAATCCAAACGACCAGACCATAGTGGCATAGCTCCTCTGAAAAAGGACGGTAAACTTGTTTATGACCCTACCACCAAGGCCCAGGTGCCANAACGTGTTCAACTGTATGACAGAAAATAGCGAGTGGGACGTAAACAAACTATGGGAGTATTTCAAAACTGAATTGTCTAAACTCATAAAAGAACATATCCCCCACAAGATAGTTAAGACAAAACCCAGCCTACCTTGGGTTACCCCTGACATAAAGAAACTTATCAGGAGAAGAAATAGATTGTACAAACGATCAAAAAAATCAGGAGACACTGAAATAAAAAATAAGTATAAAAACCTGAAACATCATATACAGAGAAAACTCCGAACATCTTACTGGAGCCATATTGATAATATCATCACCCCAGAAAACACAACCAATGAAAACAAATTTTCCTGCAAAAAA